TGAAAGACGAGTTGGACGGGTTTCAGATACACAGGCGGACAGACAAAATATGCCGCTTATATATTTAGAGATAGATAGATAGATAGATAGATAGATAGATAGATAGATAGATAGAACTAAACAGGCTAAGAAAGCTAGATAGATAGCTCTCGTCAAAATATCCTCCTTTAGCATGATTATAGTATTTGGTATTCGTTGCAAAAGTTTCTCAAAGTATAAGTTTGAAAACTGATTCCATTCTTTTTTCAATGACCATAAGACCTCTTTTACCTTCTTTTTCTCTCTTCTCTCAAGTTCATCCCAAGATAAATCTGAGGGTGGCTGCAAAGTTTTGAATGTTTGTTTATATAGACAGGTAGATATATAGATGAAAAGACAAGATAGATAGATAGATAGATAGATAGATAGATAGATAGATATAAAGACTACGATAGATCAATGGATAGATGTAAAGACTACGATAGATAGACATGAAAACTCAGATAAGTAGATCGAGAGATAGACAGATATGAAAACCATGATAGATAGTGTTATGGGAACTTACCTATAACGATAATGAACTCTTCCTGACACTATAAATACTGCGCCTCTCAAGAGGTATAATGAATGAATGGTGTAACAAGCATCAGGTCATAACTCTTGAACTCTCTGCTTTGGCAGATAGGAACCCGGACGAAGCTTTGCAGGTTTCGTCCGGGGAAGTAGACAGGCCCTGAACCCGTCTAGGCGGGTTCAAAGGTTATATTTTTGGCCGAGCCTACGGGCTAGGGAAACCCACGTTAAACTCGGCCTTGTGCCACATGCTACCCTCGTGGGGGTGTGGCTAGTTACCGAATGAATGATGTAACGAGTCGAGAGAATATTAGTTCACTCTAAACCAGACGGACAGTCATTATTAACAACTTCAAATTCTTGTACTATATTTCTGTTGTAATATATCTTTGTTATTCTAGCAGGTCCAATAGATGGTTTCTACTATTTGATCATAGTAGACAGTTATAGCAAATGGCCAGAAGTGTTTCGTTGCAGAAAACCTACTTCTGAAACTACCAAAAAATTGCCTCCACGAGCTGTTTGCTCGCTTCGGACTGGTTGATTGTCTAGTCACTGATAATGGAACACAATTCACATCTACGGACTTTAAAAAGTTTTGTGAAATTTTTCAAGTTAACCATATCAAATCCCCGTCATATCACCAAAGATCAAACGGGCAAGCGGAGAGATTTGTAGACACACTCAAAAGAGTGTTAAGGAAAGCATATGGCGTTGCAATAATTTTTACCAGTATATCGGATTACACCAAACAGTGCTACACCATCGGCATTATCACTCGCGGAAGTGATGTTCGCCCGAAAAATCAGATCAGTATTTGACAAATTGCTACTAAAACAAACAAAGCAAATACCATTGTTGTGTGTACCAAAAAGAAAATTTCACCCAGGAGAGAAAGTTTTTTTTAAGATGTATAAAAACAATACGTCCTACTGCGAGCAAGGTACAATTGAAAAAAAAGAATCGGGAACATGGTTTACATAGTTCAGGGCCCGAAATTCTCACATGAAAGATATATAAATCAAATAAGAAAGAGTCTGTTAGATGATTCTAACGGTCCACCTCAGGAAGAAGAAGCGATGGATACAATATTCGACACATTTGATATGCATAGGCCGCAAACAATGGCTGAACCACAAAAATCGACCAGGAAAAGAAAAGGCACAGAGCATTTGATAATAAATCCAAAGAGGAAAAAATACTAAAGACCCCTGAGACGCAAAAGCTTTGGAAGGGGGTTTTATGGGAACTTACCTATAACGATAATGGACTCTTTCTGACACTATAAATACTGCGTCTCTTAAGAATGGTGTAATGAGTCGAGACAATATTAGTTCACTCTAAACCAGACGGATAATCATTACTAACACCTTCAACTTCTTGTACTATATTTCTGTTGTAATATATCTTTGTTATTCTACTCTTGTGTTCCTGTTGTTCTTCCTTGGTTCTAACCTTGGACCATAACTGTGGTGCGAGGATATTGGACCATGACAGATAGATAGATAGATAGATAGATAGATAGATAGATAGATAGATAATGAGACGTCATAGATAGATAGATAGATCGATAGATAGATATTGACAGTGCGAGGTAGAAAGATAGATATTAACAGTCTGAGATAGATAGATAGATAGATAGATAGATAGATAGATAGATAGATAGATAGATAGATAGATAGATAGAATGACAAACAGATAGATAGACAGATACACAGTCAGATAAATAGATACACAGATAGATAAATATTAAGGCTGTGTTGGGTTGTAAGGTTATTAAGATTATGATAGATAATAGATAGATAGATAGATAGATAGATAGATAGATAGATAGGTAGATAGATAGATAGATGTGCACAAAGATGTTCTGATAAAAGGCGATGTGATTAATTTTCTAATTTGTTACGAAATCGATATCCATAGATAGGTAGATCGATAGATAGAATTTGAATTTTTAACCGTTCCTTCATCTGGAGGATAATCCTAATTCTGTATGTTCAAGCACTAGATTAAGATTTTCAATCCCCAGATCATCTCGATTCCAAAAAAGATATAATATATTTATGTAGAGCAAGTTTGTCTCAAGTTAGAGGGGATTTCAGTTATTCGGGCGGACAGACAGAATTTCTCGTTTATTTAATTAGAATACATGTTCCTTAAATTTGTCGCTTTTCTCTAATTTTGTGTCCATCATGTTCCTAACATTTGACGAAAGAAAGATATATTGGCCGCTTCAAATTTCTTCTTCATCCATGAAGAGATTTGTTAGCCTTCATTGCCATGCAAGAGCAGTTCAAAGAAGTTCATAGCAGTTCAGCATTCTTTTCTTTGTTTCTTGCGATATTTTTCTATATCGAGGTTAAGATATTTCCTTTCTCGATCGATCACAATCCCGTGTTTTCATGTGAACAGTAATTAACTGTGATATTAATAATAACGAATCAAGTATTATTTGTCAATGATGAGTCGTGATTTTGATATTCTTATTATAAGCTAAAGAAGATGTTGATTGTGTTGGTAGCGATGATTGCCATATAAAGATAACCGCGCTTTTATTGTTCGGTAATCAGACGACTACAACTAACCATTGTCCAGAATTGGTTTTCCAAAAAAGAAATGACTTTTTAGGTTAAGTGAACCTTTTGCTGCTTAACAACATTTTTTTTTTCATTTCTTTGGGTTTTTTGAGTTTTCTTAATTCATTTAGTCTTTCTCTATTTTCTTTCTTTGTTTGCATTGTTACTTATATGTCATGCTTACTGGATATTTCATTCTTTTTTTTTTAAAGAAGAAGAAGAAGAGGATAGAGAAAGAGAAATAAACATAAAGAAAGACAGAAATAGTAGGGACAAAGAAAGAAAGAAAGAAAGAAAGAAAGAAAGAAACAAACAAACAAACTAGCAAACAAACCAAGAATTCAAATGGGGAAAAGAGAGGTACATGAAAATAAATAGACTGTGGAAGCAAAAGTATTCTTGAGAAAGAAAGAAAGAAAGAAAGAAAGAAAGAAAGAAAGAAAGAAAGAAAGAAAGTCGAACGGCAAAAGAGAGGTATATGAAAATAATGTGACTCTGGAGGAAAAATACTGAAAAGAAAGAAAGAAAGAAAGAAAGAAAGAAAGAAAGAAAGAAAGAAAGAAAGAAACTGAAGAGGAAAGAAAATCAAACGGGAGAAAAGAGGTATATGAAAATAAAGTGACTCTGGAGGAAATATATTGAAAATAAATAAATAAAGAAAGAAAGAAATAGAAAGAAATAGAAAGAAAGAAAGTTTAAAATAAATAAATCAAAAAGGTGAAAAGAAAAAATGGTGAAAAGAAAAAGAGAAAGAAATGTGAAAAGAAAGAAATAGAGAGAGAAAGAAAGAAAGATGAAAAGAAAGAAAGGTGAAAAGAAAGAAAGAAAGAAAGAAAGTTGAAAATAAATAAAAAATGTGAAAAGAAAGACGAAAGAATAAGGAGAGAAAGAAAGATGAAAAAAAAGAAAGAACAAAGGAAAGAAGGTGAAAACAAATAAATCAAAAAACTTGGAAAGAAAGAAAGGTGAAAAGAAAGAAAGAAAGAAAGAAAGAAAGAAAGAAAGATAGAAAGAAAGAAAGTCGAACGGCAGAAGAGAGGTATATGAAAATAAAGTGACTCTGGAGGAAAAGTATTGAAAATAAAGAAAGAATGAAAGAAATAGAAAGAAAGAAAGAAAGAAAGAAAGAAAGAAAGAAAGAAAGAAAGAAAGTTTAAAATAAATAAATCAAAAAGGTGAAAAGAAAAATGGTGAAAAGAAAGAAAGAAAGAGAGAAAGAAAGGTGAAAAGAAAGAAAGAGAGAGAGAAAGGAAGAAAGATGAAAAGAAAGAAAGGTAAAAAGAAAGAAATAAAGAAAGGTGAAAAGAAAGAAAGAAAGTTGAAAATAAATAAAAAATGTGAAAAGAAAGACGAAAAAAATAAAGAGAGAAAGAAAGATGAAAAGAAAGAAAGAAAGAGAGAGAGAAAGAAAGATGAAAAGAAAAAAGAAAGAAAGAAGGTGAAAATAAATAAATCAAAAAACATGGAAAGAAAGAAAGGTGAAAAGAAAGAAAGAAAGAAAGAAAGAAAAAGAGAAAAAAAAGAAAGGTGAAAATGACGAGAGAAAGTTGAACGGAAAGAACGTTGCTTAACTCCGGCAATCGAATTTAATATACCATTCTTAGTGAATTCCATCCCTATTTTTGATCTTTGTCTTAGGCTCAGAGCCTAAAATGGCATCTATTGATTTTCATTTCTATGTGTGCAAAATCTGCAGAAGCGATGGTACTATAGAAATCTCTTATTTTACTCATGGATGAGAACTTCTGTCTACGATCAGAAAATCTCTCCACCGTGTGTCTGTTTCAATTACACTCTACGCCAATTGTGCCTTAAATCAGTGCCGTACATGTTCCAGCTTCTTTGCCGTCTTCGCAGACTACGGTGCGGAAAATGGTCGTGTTCTCCTGCACGCTGGGCAATTTACGACCTAGCAATGAGGAAACGCTGGCATCGATGATGCCATCTTTCCAGCAATACTTCTCCATTGCATCAAAGGCATATGCCGAAGTTTTCCAACGCTGCTCTCTGGCTTACGATAATATCACGTAGAAACACCTGTTCTTGTACTATGCCCGAAGTTAAGCAACGTCGAGTTTGGTCAGTACCTAGATGAGTATGCCCTAGGTAATACCAGACACATTTCCCCTCCACTATCACACTGAGGTAGGATGCGACACAAGGTCGTTTTAATGTGGGTAACGCCATACTCATACGTATGCATAGGGACCAAGGACAAAATATGTTTGGCTTATACTCGCGACCACTGTTACGTTGGTATCGACATTACACCGATCGCACTACCGCTTTTACTGCAATGAGGGAGGTACTGCTGCAGGGTTGAGAACCTCGGGACTGGGTGCCTTCTCCAATCTCAAAAGAGGAGAAATGTTAAGTCCTGTAGCAGGAGCTCGAGGCTTCAATGAATTGGGGACGTAATGGATAACGAACTGTAATTTGGAAATCCAATCGGGTTCGTTATATTCACTTTGGCCCACATATTTTGGCTTTGTTTTCTTTTGCAGCATATCAACCTCAATGGGTTACTTAATGCCGAAAAGATTTTTATTGCTGGTAATATTATTTTTTCCAATTTCAAAAATATATTGCTGATATTTTTTTTTTTTTAAATATATATAGCTGGTAATATTTTTTCTTCAAAAATGTATTGCTGGTAATATTTTTTCTTCAAAAATGTATTGCTGTTAATATTTTTTTAGAAAATGTATTGCCGGTAATATTTTTTTAGAAAATGTATTGCCGGTAATAATGTATTGCCGGTAATGATTTTTCTTCAAAAATGTATTGCTGGTAATATTTTTTCTTAAAAGAATGTATTACTAGTAATATTTTTTCTCCTAAAATGTGTTGCTGGTAATATTTTTTTTCTTCAAAAATGTATTGCTGGTAATAATTTTTTTTAGAAAATGTATTCCTGGTAATAATGTATTGCTGGTAATAATTTTTTTCTTCAAAAGTGCATTGCTGGTAATATTTTTTAGAAAATATATTGTCCGTAATAATGTATTGCCAGTAATGATTTTTTCTTCAAAAATGTATTGCTGGTAATATTTTTTTAGAAAATGCATTGCTGGTAATAATGCCTTGCTGGTAATAATTTTTTCTTAAAAAATGTATTGCTGGTAATAATTTTTCTTCAAAAATGTATTGTTAGTAATATTTTTTTAGAAAATGTATTGCTGGCAATGATTTATTGCAGGTAATATTTTTTTTCTTAAAAACTGTATTGCTGGTAATATTATTTCCTTCAAAAATGTATTGCTGGTAATATTTTTTTACAAAAACGTATTGTAGGTAATAAAACCCATTTTCTCACTCTTATAGTGGTTGTTTAGAAGTTAGCTCATTGCTCACAGCAAAGGTGCTACCACTTCGTATCAGGGTGGAACTGGTGTTACCAGCAATTAATAGATGTTTCCAACTCCTCAAAATTTCCTGATCAGGGAACTTGCTGTTGGATGTAGTTTATCGTCATACCGAGGACGGTATATTCTTGAAAAAGGTATGAATCCAGTTATTCTCCCCAAAATAAATTGTAGGATTATTATTATGTCCAAAAAATTCTTGAAATCTAAAATGTTATTGGCTTTAAATAACTCGCAAAAGGTTGATAACCGATAAAAAAAATAAATCAATCTAACGTTTGTAAGGAGATTAGGGAATTTTTTGCTATTTCTGCGTAAGAGCTTCCCAGTTGAAACAAACTATATATCATCTGTTAACAACGTGGAATTAGGATCGATATATTCTGAAGGCAGTCACATATTGGTAGTAATGTGTTTTAATTCAGGTTTTCTTCTTCTAGACCGGTTGTCCAAGACAAGTTACATGGCACATTGCTTTGCGGTTTACTAAAAACTGGAGTGTGGGGAGAGGAATGTATTCCTTTTCGGAGACCATTAGTGAGAACTGAAAAAATACTCCATTTACAAAATCCGTCTTGGGTATGACGATAAACTACATCCGCATTCTGGGTAAGACGATAAATAAATACATTTTGATGTTTTTTTTCTCTATATGAAATACGCTAGTGGCTCGGAGAACTCAATTCATACTTGAAGAATAAAGCTTAATTGCAATAGGAGCCGCTGTTTTTAAAACCCCCTTTCCTCTAAAGAGATCAAGCGGATTGAGAGAAAGAACAGATGGGTTAAAAATCCACAGCTCGTTGTATTTATTTTTAAAAAGGTGCTCAATATAAAGTAGGTCAATATATATATATAGAGAGAGATAGATAGATAGATAGATAGATATTATGTGATTTTAATAAAACATTTTGAAATCGCTACACAAAACCTTTCATGTCAATTATCTCGACTTTACCAACTCAGAACTCCTTCGGTTCTGTCACTAGATCTACCCAACGCCTTTATCCACTTTGCCATGTGTCCTTAAGGACATCTGCGTATGACTTTCTGAAACTTATAAACAATGTCTTATGAAAACACTTTTTTAGCAATGCTCATATTGCAATTTTGCTGTTATCATTTCATGTTTTTTACCAGAGCTCATGTGGCAATTTTCGTTGATATTATTGCTTTTCTCTGGCTTCTCCTCTCTCTCTCTCTGTCAGTTATCAGTTATCTCCTGTTAATTCCCCTCTCCAAGTTCTCCACTGACTTAACCGGGTATTGAACTCACGCTCTTTGGGTCCTATCACTGGATCTAACTAACGCCTTTATCCACTGTGCCATGTGTCCTTGATATGAGCGGAATAAAAGGTTCAGTTCGACATTCCAACTACCTGAAGAATCATACAACGGCCGAAACGTTTTGATAAATATGGCAACAAAGATGATGATAATCCGAATAATGTAAATAGTGTACATAATACCCCTTCTGAGAAATATAGACAAAAATATATGTCTGTGTGTATGTATGTGTGTGTGCCCCAATGTGCTTAAAAAGCGTCTTTGCATATATGTACATTATATAAGACACAATAGAAGAATAGTTCCAATCTGGCTTTAACCAATAAATGAAGATTAATATATGATGCCTATTCGATCAGTTCCTAAGTTACTAAATATATAATAAGGTACTTATATGTAAAGAAGCCAATAATAAATTATGTTCAAGCAGACACAACAGGCTTATTTTGCAATTAGCTGAGCCATCTTCATTAATTGTTCTGTTTGCCTATAAAAGCCTGTGAATTTTGACGGTGGAAGACACATTGGATTTTTGGAAGAGAAGCTTTTACACGCCCCGACTTTTATAACAACAACTAACTACTTGAGGTCAAAATTGTCACGTTACTGTTTTGCCATCTGCACGACTTGATTATCCAGAACAACAGCCAGGAAACAAAAGTTGGATAAACTTGAAAATGTCTCCGAAAATGAGAAACAACAGTAAAGATGGAAATAATGTACCTGTTTTTTATTTACTGTTTTAATTTTAAAAAGGACGGTTAAGTGAAATTAATATATAACCCATATTTTCGATTTTTTGCTTGCTAATTTAAAAAAATATCGATAAAACACGCAAGCAAAGTGAAACCTAAGAAATGTGTTTCGGTTTATTAAAAAAAAAAAATGGAACAAAATTCTTAAAAAGCAAACTTTTATGTATTTTAAAACTTGAAGCAGACGACAAAAAAAAATTCTTATCTTAGAAAACAACTATCCTTAATATAAAAGCAGGCGACAAAACTTACACCGTGAAGAAGAAAAAAGGGCCCCCGACTTGTTTAACTAAAATTTCCGAGCGAGGAAAACGCTATCATTTTATAGGAAAGAAAGTTCAAAATAAAGTAGCAAAATTCTTGGTATTTGAGTGACCGCTCAAAAAATAAAATAAAATAAAATAAGAAATAAAAAAGCTAAAAAAGAAAAGCTGTAGTTTCTACGTCAAAGGCACCGATTCTAAACAACACCCAAAGTTACCGAGCTTGTAGGGAGAAAGATTCCGGCCGAAACAGACGACCTTCTGAGTAAGTATAACTTTTAAAATTCTCGATATATATATATATATTACTATATATCATTCTATGCATATTTTTGTCCCAGTAAACTACTTTCACTTGTAAGGCAGTGTTTAATAAAAACTGAAAGCAATTTACTAAGGTGAATAACTATAGAATTACCTATGCACTAATTTTTAAAACATCCATGGTAAATTTGTATCCATTTTGTTACAATGTTTCACCTTTCTTGGCCAATCTGCCATTGTTATAATGTGGTATATTTAAAAACAAATATATGACATCGAAAAACCAAGCGCATTATTAAAACGCATTACATCGGGCGAACTTTGCGTTGTCCGTCAGGAAAATTAAAATGAAGGGTTTTAAAACTTGGAAAACGCAAAATTTACTATTCTTAGATTTGCAGCGCTTTCATTTGTTGCATAATTTTAAACAGCATTCGTTTACGTCTTGCTCATCTACACACACACACACACACACACACACACACACACACACACACATATATATATATATATATATATATATATTAATACACAATAAAATCCCAAATCACCTAATATGTCTTATAAAATTATTTTGACGGACCCAAAAATAAAAATCATCAGTCTTATTCAACATCTGTATAGATTGAGTTCATGTCGGAATTAGGAATTTTATTTTATTTTTTCGTCGATCGAAATAAACTTATTCCTCATATGAGGTGAGTTTGGATTTTATAGTTTATAGTGTATTAATTTTTGCTCTAATAAATAATAATTAAAGTTTAATATTTTATATTAGGATCCCTGGATTATATACCAACGGATTTATTACTTTTTACTATCTATCTATCTATCTCTATCTATCTATCTATCTATCTCTCTCTCTCTCTCTGTATATATATATATATATATATATATATATATATATATATGCCAAGGAATATATATTATATTAAATAGATCTATTATTTAACATTTATATGTTTTTTACATACGATCGTTCGCTCACATATCTACCTATAGTTACTCATTCGGTTATATATATATATATATATATATATATATATATATATATATATATATATATATATATATATATCGCCTATTAAGCATCGCCTACGGGATATTCGTGGGATTTCACTGAAAATGAAAATCAGTGTCTATCGAGCAGTCATTCTCATCACACTTCTTTATTGTTCAGAATCATGGACGCCATACAGGACGCACATCAATCAACTTGATGCTTTACATAAACGCTGTCTTCGTTCAATATGCGGTTATACACGGCAGGACAAAATCTCTAACCCTTATCTTTTCATCAAATGTGGTATCGAATGCTTTCTGATGCAATCACAGTTCAGATGGGCTGGTCATATCATCAGAATGATTGATGATCGGATGCCGAATATCCTCATCCTTTATTCATGGTAAGCGTAACGTAGGGCATCCTTGGTTACGCTTCAAGGATAAACTTAAATACAATATAATTCTTGCGAACATCCCTATAGAGGAATTCAAAATTTCTGTTGAAAACCAAGCAAACTGGAGAAATACCTGCTATCGAGGTATAACTAACTTTGAAAAGAATCGTATCAATTACCTGAAAGAATTAAGAATTAACACTAAATCTGGGGCTAATACATCAACCCATATAATGCTTCAAGTATTTTTAGTTTTTGTCTATTGTTTTCATGTCGAAGTATAGTTGTGTATTCGACAAGTATTTTACGGAATTGTGTGTGTATCATTATACATCAAACAGTTAAAATCCAACCTAAACAAAATCAATTATGGCATCTCTACAAATATTCTTAAATGTCTATAATTGGTAACAGAAGCCATTGGTTTATACCAACGGCTTTCCTTACTTCATTCTCCAATTCACTCTCGTGTAGTCATGTGTGACGTCATGAGATGCAGTGCGATTTTCGCTTCTAGCGTCTTATATGCGCGTGTTTATCGTTGCTAGTGATCAACTATGTAAACAATGACAGACTATCATCACTGTCGTGTCCGTATATTGTTTAATATGTTTTGTGATTTACATCTTTGATAATGGCTTAAGTAAGCCAAAACTTAGATTATATTAAAAAATATGGATCAATATTGTGAATTTCTTTCTTCGTTTAATGATAATGTTATCAAACTTATCAGATGTTACGAACAAATTTTACATAAAATAAATAGACAACACTTGTCTATATTATTTAATGAAACGTGTACAAATGAAAATATGCTGCCTAAATACACAAATATATATATATATATATATATATATATATATATATATATATATATATATATATATATATTTGTGTGTGTTTTTGAATGCCGAATAGATTTTTCGATAGGTTCATAAGAATAGAGTTTCTTTGTAAGAATTCAGTTTTTAGATCAGGTTTCATTAGGGTATTTCTGTAAAGAGGCTTTAAAATGTCTGGCATCGTTTATTTTGTTTTACGGCTTATCAACCCCGCAGTGGTTAATTGGTGTAGCCTACAAAGTGTTACTGAATCAGGAATAACCGAAACAGATGTTGGAAATGAAATGATAATCTTTATAACATCCACAAAATAGCATACTCACCAGCGGCGTGAAGTAGGTAAACCACTGCTAGTGGGGGACTACTTAGCATATTACCCTCACTTAGTGTCCAACGTATTTATGAGGATTGGGACATACCCATTAATGTTCATAATTACGGTATATAACAGTAATTTAATGATGGCATGATTTTTAGGATAGGTTTGTATGAATAAAATATATATTCTTTGTAAGAAATCACTTTGCAGATCAGCTTTCATAGGTGTATTTTTGAAAAGATGGTTTTTGTCGAAAGTCAAATATATTGCTATTTTTTTTGTTTTTTTTTCAAAAATGTATTGCTGGTATTTTTACTATAGAAATCCAGTTCTACACTTTCATAGTGTTTTGATCCCATTTTGGGGGTAATTATTTGCCTATAGCTGGGGCCCTACCAGGTGCTACCACCCCGGGAAAGGTTACCCTGGAAAGAACATCAATTAAGAGATTGGTTTCACGTTCCTCAAAACCTCCTGATCAGAGCCCTTGCTGCCGGATGTAGTCTATCGTTATACCCTTGACGACGTACATATTATCGACGTAGAAAACTGAACTGACTATTAGAGTTCAAAATTCCCATAGATGCTTCCGCAGTCACTTATTTAACATAGTAAGGCAAACTAGGTTCTTTAGCTTTGGTAGTTTAAGCATTCTACAAAGATATATCTGAATTCAAAACTGTCAAAATGGCAATGAAAATCCCTATCTCCATTACCATAGTAATATACAAATATAAAGGAAAAGGAACGTGTGGAGAGCCATAAATACATGTATTCTGAAAGTAAATGGTCAAAATATGAACATGACGTTATAAACATTCCGACAGGAAGCTAAGATTATTCATATATGCCTTATCCTTTTAGAACTTTGGCGATCATGGCTCTCCACAATTTCCTGTCTTATGTAGGGCTTAATGAAATTTGTGTTTTGCTATCTTTTTTCATCCCCGTTTTACCAACCATTTACACAAGCTTGATCTTCATTTTGCGATGGCCCTTAAGGGTGTTGGAGATCATGGCTCTCCACAATTTCCTTTTCTTTGTATCCCTTTGTAAAGGTTGTTGTTTTGTTATATCTCCTAATCCGTGTTCTGCCAAACATTTTCGCAAGATTCTTCTTCTTCTGTGTGCCGTGCCCCTTCAGGATACAAGCGTTTATGGCTCTCCACATTTTCCTGTCCTTTGTATCCCTTAGTAAATTTTGCCTTTTTTCTATATCTCCTAAGTTTCACAAGCTTGTTAGGTAGGTTTTCCTCTGTCGCCCTTGCTTTCATTATATCTTGTGAGTGTCAAAATTTCCAAGCCCCTTTTTCTCTTTTTTTCTTCATTTAAAGGTAACTGCTTAAATAGATTTAAAGAATTCCTGAGTGATTCAAATATTTTATACAATTTATTTCTGACGATTATTTTCCTCCTTAATTTCTTTATCACCCGGTTGGGATCGACACGTTCTTCAGCCTTCTGGATGCGTATAAGATATCTGGTGGTCTTTAGAATTGGTTTAAGACTTCATTTCTTTTGCTCATTTCCTATAAAACGGCAACGCATCCTAAAATTGAGAAGAATCGGATTTTGAATAAGCAGCACCAAAAGAATTCACAATGATTTTCGATTTTCTCAGAAAAAAACGATTTCAGTTATCAAATTTTATTTTGCCTGATTTTCATGATAACAGATTTGCTTTTTAATGCAATGCTCAGATCGCCGCTGTACAGTCTTGCGTTAACAGTGCTAATCGGTAATATACGATCTATTTACAGAAAAAATTAAGGCTACGTTTTTAAATTATATTTCTTCCTTCTGAATAAAATTGACAAACAACTTGTCTGACAGTATTTACTTTAATTTGTATTTGCTCAACCTCCCACAAGGTCAGGTTGGTTTAATGTGAAAAGTCAGAGCGTATACGTCCGGGCTAGAAATAAAAATTACACGCAGCCCCCGCAAACGTTGGTCTCGGCTCGATGAGAGGGCGCGGCCTCGGGCAGGGTTGGGCATCTCAGTATAATTTTCATCGGCTGCGACTTTGACGCATCCGCCTCTGAGCGCACTCTGCCCAAAGACTGAGACGCAACTGAGGGATGATAAATAAACGTGTTATAAACTACTTTAGAGTAATTTACACACGGTATTCCACTGAGACGAGATATGACACAAGTTCTTTTTTTAAAGTGGGGATCCGAGCGCGGTAACCGGGCAAGGAACAAAAATTGACCGCAGCCACAATGACCGTCGGTTGCGCTGACCTCTGTGTGAGCACCGATCCCTCTCTCTGGTGCCATGAGAGGGAGCGGCCTCCGGCAGCTGTTCCCGAGGGTGGGGCACCTCTCAGTATAATTTTCCTCAGTTGCAACTCTATCTTTTGACAGAGAAGCACCTGAGTGCACTCTTTCCAAAGACAGAGACGAAACTGAGAGATGATAAATAATTTGTTAGAAAGTACTCGAATTAATAATTTACACCGACAGTAAATTTGAGGCCGACCCCCCCCCCAACAACCAAAAAAACAATAAATATTTCTTAAACGAATAATTTTTTGGTGAAAACAATATATATATATATATATATATATATATATATATATATATATATGAGTAACGAAAATCTTGGTAATCTGTATGGATAATTCCAAGGAGGATGAAATCCGGAGAGCTCAATGTTAAGTCAGAGCGAATAATTTAATTTAAAGAAAAAAGTAAAAAAAAATTGTAATGAATTCATTTTTTCACACGTGACAGTGAAGTCTGAAGATCCAGAGATAAATAAAATCTCTGGTGAAATAAATTATAACTAATGGAACCTTAAAGTGGTCTTTTTTTCTTTAAACTTTATATATATATATATATATATATATATATATATATATATATATATATATATATATATATATATATATATCTTCACACTGTACAAGGGCCAAGAGCAATTCAAGGTAGTGTGTTACAGAATAATATGCACAAATTTATGCAGTAATGTAGGCAAGATAGAGGTTAAACCTAGACTTGAAGAGGTTAAGATTCTGGTGATCGGGGAAGCATCATCACGGGAGTTGGTTTCACAAAACTGTCGTGCCTGTTAAGAATTGGTACGAAAAGAAAGAGTGCGGAATATATATATATATATATATATATATATATATATATATATATATATATATATATATATATATATATATATATATATATATAACGTTCTCTTTCTGACCACGACACCGGGTTCGAATCTCAACATGGTCGATTGATCAAAAAAAGCGAGTTCAGAGTGACACCTAAACACCTCTGAAATCTTCGTAATGCAGCTTCCGTCGCTAATGCCAAAGAGTACAGCATGCTGTTTCACAAATTTATCGCGGAGTGAATTGCGTCATGGTGTGGTTTTTCTTACAGATGGTGTTCAACTGACACCAGTATACTGTGCCGGTTATAAAATCAAAAATAAAGGACGCGCATGCGCGAAATAAATATATATATAAAATGGCAACAATTTACCCATCGCAACCTGTACAGACACACACGCACACACACACACACAGACACACATATATATATGTGTGTGTGTGTGTGTGTGTGTGTGTAATGTGTGTGTGTGTGTGTGTTGTGTATCCAGGTATATTAAGTGACTATAGAAACAATCTTTCGTGTTGAATAAAACAAGTATATGTAAAATATCTCTGTTTTGACGAAAGTTCTCAATTCTTTACAACGTTTCCATTTTTTGTCTTTGTAAGATTTATATTATTGAAATATATATATATATATATATATATATATATATATATATATATGTGTGTGTGTGTGTGTGTGTATATATATATATATATATATGTGTGTAAAAATATATGGTTATAGATCCGACAGTATGAAGAAAATATATGGAAAAACAAAAAAATTCGAATATGCAAATATGCTGTTTTAAAATTGAAATAACATTAAAACAGCATATTTGCAAATTCAGATACTTATTTTTCCATATATTTTTCATATATATATATATATATATATATATATATATATATATATATAAATTATTGTAATGGTACCTTAAAGTGGTCTGTTTTTCATTAAATATTAGCTCTGTATTCACATTGAGCTCCCAGGATTTCACCCTCCTTGGAATTACCCATTCGGTTTACCAAGTTCTTCGTAACTTATATATATATATATATATATATATATATATATATATATAAACATTAGACTGAGAACGGATCAAGCAATAACGAAGAAATCCTAAAATAGGATTTTAATAGCGACACATTGAGTTTTATTTTTAGCTTCTTGCTAATCACGATGTAGAGTAATTGGCTATTGTTAAATGTAATTAACAAAATTCTCAACAAAAATCTGCAATTAACAATAGCGAAATAAAAGAAGAGAACAGAACAGAAAATAATACTCAGCAAACAGAATTTGACAGTCAAAATGATAATAATATTATTATTGCTTATTGTAAACTTTGTTAATTCAGTTTGTTGACATGACTTACTTTATTTTGCATTTGACCGTGGCTACTCCACAACGTAAATGCAGTTTCAATCCCTCTATTAGTGGGATTAAAACATTTATTTCTTAATAAATCTTTCTACACCTGCTTACTTTTGTTTTCTTTTAAAATAAAGTTTATGACTCAACCAATTACGCGTAAAATCCTTATATCGTCTGTAAGGTTTTAAATTCTTTTCTCATAAAACTAATCCGAAAAAGTTTGCGACAAGCTCTTGAATCTGGTTTGTATTATAAAAAAGTCTTTCTCATCAAAAAACTACTCAGCCCTATTCACCTGACCTTCAATCAAGCAATAAGTTTTTTTGTTGGGAAATACTGTTTATATTACAAACCAGAGTTTGTCGCAAACTTTTTTTGCGGCGTAATCTTTCGGACATAACAACCATGTATGATTATTAGGATGTTATATTCATCATTGCAAGTAGTTCCGAAAACAGAAATTGCTTTGAATTAAACTAATATTAGACTTGTGATATCTGTCTTTATTTATGAGATGAGTTATGATGTACACTATTTACATTATTCGGGCTATTGTCCTCATCTTTGTTGCCATATTTATCACAATATGTCGGCCCTTCAGTATCTGTCTATATGTCTGAGAAGTTTGAAATAGCTTGAAGAGTAAGCGTTCTCAAAGCAAATTTGTGGCTTTCACAACACAAAGAAAGAAAATCACGCGTCAGGAAAATAACTCACGAACGCCAAAACTGCCCGAATTTTCCTTCCCCGAGTCGACAACATCAACTACTTTTATCGGCAGAACCTATTTTTTCCATTCGTCGACAGCCGGGATAGGATGCTTCGTAATTTGCATATTAATATCCTCTTATAGCGACTCCTGCGACGGACTTGTTTCTTTTTCATCACAGAATACACGCGACGCGCTGTCGCTTGGGTTGACGAGGTAAGTCGCTATAAGAGTTTTGCTGACTACTTTTTGGCAATCCCTCCCCGGCAGATCGCACACAAAACACGAACTTTTTTCCCGGGTACTTGATTATCTCGTTCACTACAGATATGTACATTTTTTACATTATTCGGACTATTGTCCTCTTCTTTGTCGCCATATTTATTACAACGGTTCGGCCATTATACACTCCGGCCTTCTTGATAACTGACATTCATTAAACATGGCACTAGGATCTAGAACAGTCTACCCCATTGAGCGAAATAAAGTGTTCAGTTGGAAATTCCAACCACCTGAAGTAGGCCAGAGTGTGCAACGGCCGAAAAATTGTGATAAATATGGCGACAAAGATGAGGACAATATCACAACGTTGCGGCCCTTCAGTATCTGCCTATATTTCTGAGATGAGGTATTATGTACACTATTTACATTATTCGGACTATTGTCTTTTTCTTTGTTGCCATATTTATTACAACGTTTCGGCAGTTAAAAGCTCCGGCCTTCTTGATAACTGAAATCTATTAAACATGGCATGTGAAACTAGTCTACCCCATTGAGCGAAATAAAGTGTTCAATTCGACATTCCAACCACCTATAGAAACCAGACCGTACAACGGCGGAAACTTTGTAATAAATATGGCGACAAAGATGAGGTCAATAGTCCGAATAATGTAAATAATAGACTTGTGATAACTTAAAAGAACACAAATGGAGAACCTTAGAAAAACTGTGTCGTTAAATCGTTCCATAATCTGCGTTGTTCCCGGTTTGGCTTCACCTTCCAAAGACTTTTCTACAGAACGAAACTTTGTATATCATTTTCTTACTTGCCGGCCAGCTATTATAAATCATTAGGGTCTATCTTTACCCGTACAGACACTTGCCATCGATTGGTATCTTTCAATCGATTTGAAAAATGGATTCATTCGAATGAATCAGTTAATTCTTTGAAAAGGAAATCGTAGTAAGTCATTTCATTCCAATCACCAAATACCGTTTTTTGAAGACAATACTTTTACTGACGGATCATTGTTGTTGTTCTTTTTTCTTTACGCTATCCTGACTAAAGGTCAAAATTGTTTTTTAAAAACTGTTAAAATTATATATATATATATATATATATATATATATATATATATATATATGTGTGTGTGTGTGTGTGTGTGTGTGTGTGTGTGTGTGCGTGTGCGTGTGTATGTGTTTCGTTAGTGTAATCTTTTTTATGTAACTAACACGTATTATTAGTAGATACTTGGGTTTGGTTTATTTTGTTTTACGGCATATCAACCTCAATGGGTTATTTAATGCCGACAGCATTTTTAGGATAGATTCGTATGAATAGAATATGTATTCTTTGGTTTAGATTGGTTTGGTGTATTTTGTTTTACGGCATATCAACCTCAATGGGTTATTTAATGCCGTCAAAATTTTAGGATAGATTCGTATGAATAGAATATGTCTTCTTTGGTTTAGATTGGTTTGGTTTATTTTGTTTTACGGCATATCAACCACAATGGGTTATTTAATGCCGACTAGATTTTTATTGCTGGTAATATTTTTTTTCCAAAAATGTATTGCTGGTAATGTTTTTCCTTTTCACAAATGAATTACTGGTAACAAATTTTCCAAAAAGTATTGCTGGTATTAAAACTTATTTTCATACTTTCATAGTGTTTTGACCCCTTTTATATAGATTAACTTTTTGCCCATAGGTGGGACCCTGACAGGTGCTACCACCCTTAGTCAGGAACACACTGTTCAAAACCTTCTGATCCTGCTGTCGAATGTAGTTTATCGTCTTACCCAGGAAGGATTAGTAGTTAGTATGATAAATGGCGATTACTGTTGTTTCCTTAAAAGAGACATTACTTATGATTCAACCTAATCTTTGGAAGATAGTCATAAAATGTCAAGAAAATATTTTGATGATCTGTATCATATATTTAAATACAAGATATTATTAATTAACAATATTTCTTAAATATTCAGAAACATTTGCATCCATCTAATATGGAAACCACTGCTCTAGAGGAACATGACATATCAAAAATGGCCTCGTAGTTTAAAAGCGATTTTATAAAATAATTATTTAACAACATAATCTATTTCCTTGTCAACAGCTAATTCATTGGTGAATATTTATCACACATATTGAACATTATAGACTGATAATTTCAGATCCAAATCCAGTGTGACAGGTTGCTAACTCATTGGTAAATACTCGGAGATGAATGAATGTATGTGCGGATTTCGATCGATTTTCGAATAAAAAGACTCATTTCACATCTAATGACAAGTGCTTCAAGGTGCTTGTTACTTGATAACCAGGTAGGCACCCTGCAATTCCCACGTATGTCTTTTATTGGTATTCGTCATGCAGTTCTGTTCTTTAAAATGCTGCCAATTACTTACTTGTCGTTCAGATTCTATGGATATCGATTTTGTAACTAATTAGAAAATTAATCATATCGCCTTTTATCAGTACGTCTTTTTGCATATCTATATATCTATCTATCTATTTATCTATCTATCTATCTATCTTAGTCTCTTCAGTATCTATCTATCTATCTATCTATCTATCTATCTATCTATCTATCTATCTATCTATCGTAAACTTAATATGTACGTACCTAACTATGAGTCTTCATATCTATCTATCTATCTATCTATCTATCTATCGTAAACTTAACATGTACGTACCTAACAATCAGTCTTCATATCTATCTATCTATCTATCTATCTATCTATCGTAAACTTAATATGTACGTACCTAACAATCAGTCTTCATATCTATCTATCTATCTATCTATCTATCTATCTATCTATCTATCTATCTATCTATCTATCTATCCCAATGTAGATTTCCTATAAGATGTAATATATTATATATAAAATAATATGTGAATTTAATTATATACCTTTTACGAGCACACACACGAATATATATAGACGTGCACACACACACACACATATATATATATATATATATATATATATATATATATATATATATATATATATATATATATATATATATATTTCATTTACCTATTTAAATTTCCCCTTCTGAAGAGTGGCTGTGCTTCTATGAAATTCAGAATAGAGACATCCATAAGATAACTGAACAAATTTATTTTTTTTATTTCTCTTCCTCTCTTTCTCTCTCTCTCTCTCTCTCTCTCTCGCTGTCTCTGTCTGTCTCTCTTTATATATATATATATATATATATATATATATATATATATATATATATATATTTTCTATATTTTGTATATATACATAGTAAATAAAATGTAATCCAACAAACATTTCCAAGGTAATTCCTCCAGATCCCAATAATGAGATAATTGCTTTTCGGTAATCCATCTCCGGCCTCGAAAGCAGAGAACACGGCAAAGGATAAAAAAAAAGATACTACTTTTTAATTTCGACTTCTGATATTTAATAATTTACCCATGAAAGAAGGATGTGACAAAATATATTTTCTATTAATTTTGGGCACCGTATCTAAAGACGCGAATTTCACAGTCCTTTCCTGATAGTACCCGCCATCCCTCGCCCTCAGATGAATTACAACAGGTACTACACTTCTATCCTAAAACCAATGCCCGGTAGCGTTTTAACGAGTATTTGAGTAGCAATGAAGATCACTTTTTTTTCAACTTATCTGGTAATAGCAGAGATGAGAGGGAATTCTTCTTCCAATGCCATCATTGGTTGCTAAAGATGAATTGAAAATGAAATGCGGTGTGAAGATTCCAGTTACTGTATTGGTAAATTTCCCGCTTAGATGATATTTATTTTGCTCATTTTATTTTCATGAATTAGGGGAAAAAATCAAATGCTTACTTTCCGTTACATATCTGGAATAATGCCTCAAAAACCAAACTATTTACATTTCATCATCACTGATCTGGCTTCAAAGTACAGCTAGTCACGATGAATCGATGGCTTCAAGAGGAGGCTTCTTTTCTTGAGTGACTATTGGAACTTAAATTCACCCCTGACATAAAGTGAAACTCTTACAGATTATTCATCGATAAAGATGAAGGAAAAATTCTTGGATCCCTGTACTGTTTCCTCATATCCGATCAGGCGAAAATGGAGTACTGGTCTCATATTTAGGCGAGATCTACCTATTCAGTCGGAATAAACTTCAAAACCGTCTCGTCCTTTTGGCTGACGAATTGTTTCAACCATCTAACCTCTTCCATGGAAAGTCCTTGGACGAACTACATCCCTGGGTTCCGCTTGACGGTTAGGAACGTCCATACATTGTACAAGAGAAGAAAATTTCAATGGAACAGATTCTTCTCGCTAATCATTGCTCTATGCAATAGACTCCCAAGGGGATATTTCCACGATTACTACAATCTTAAACTGTCCAAGTATAGGGTGAACCGTTATCTCACCCCACCTATCAGTATAAACTGACACTTAACGCAACACTCTGTCTCTCCTTCCGTACAAACGGCCTCTTTACGTTAGCCTCTACATCGTGTGGCCCTCGGGCCTCGTATAGGGTGAACCTTACTGTAAAAAAATATAATTAAAGGATCTCAAATCAAGCTTGAAATTTCTGACTATATGAACTCTGACCATTTCACGCCCATGGCATAACATCGCATTCGCAGACCCCTGTTCTATGGAGAGTAGCGACATGACAGAGGAGATCAAGGCCAACCAAAGCAACGGTACAAAAACGCAATAAAAACTAACCTGCACATGTGTAAGATCAGTTGAATAGAATCTGCTGGCGACTGATCTCGTTGGGGTTCCATTGTCCACCAAACCTGGGAAAACTTTGAAGAAACCCGCCGTTATAAAATCAATATTCAAAGACAAGAACGGTGCCGTCCAACTTCAGCATTGGTTACAACAATCGCCTTGCAGTATCGCCACTGCTTGACACTCTGCAAGGCCAAATATTTTTGAGAAGCTACCTCCGGATCCACTGATGAATTGCTAGACAAATACTTATATATATATATATATATATATATATATATATATATATATATTGATATATATATATATATATATTTCATGAATTATCTGTAAGATATTTATATATATATATATATATATATATATATATATATATGTATATATATAAAGAAAAGAGCAGTAAGATATATAATCCGGTGTTCTTATTTATATTTTTATTTTTTACAAAACCCATACGGATTACTTAGTTTTTTTATAAACTATAATATATATATATATATATATATATATATATATATATATATATATATATATATATATATTACAGTAGAAATGTTTGAAGCCACCTACAGAATTAGCATGAAAAACTTTCCATTCCAAAAAGAAAAAGAACTTTTAGAGTGATCGCAAAAAGAATGGAATCAATTATGAAACGTCTACGTTGAGAAACGTTTGCAACGAATTTGCTACAGCAATCAAGGTTAAAAGGGGAAATTTTAATCATAAAATTATTTCTTCTTTTTGTCATAATAAAATGTCTAGTAAAAAAAATCACGTCTGATAATTTATCATATATATATATATATATATATATACACTAATAATTTCTGTCATGTACATCATTGCTTGAACCGGCTTCTAATGCTCTAGAGTGAGCGGCTTTATGATAGTAGTCGTGGCTCCAGGGGGCACAGTCCTATGGTTACAGAGAGCGAGCGGCGCTATATTGAGTCTGATTAGCAATCTCTTCGTCACCGAGGCCCTGTGGAACTGTTCGTATGATGTTTTGCCTGACAACATAACTGTCAGGGTTTCAATTCTTGGTAGTGGATGCGCACTGCTGATGAATCCCAAATATAGGACGAAACGGCCGTCCAGTGCTTTCTGCATTCTGTTGCGGTTTCTTTCAGACTCGATGAATTACTTAAATATAATTATCAAATCCTCCTAATAATTTCTATCATTTATATATAATTCCTTGAACCGGCTTCAAATGCTCTAGAGTGAGCGGCTTGGTGATAGTAGTCGTGTCTCCAGGGGTTACAGAGAACTAAGTCAGACTTCCACCACGGAATATGTGAGAGATATTGAGTCTGATATATATATTATATTTTATTTTTCTCTGGATCTTAAGACACCACTTTCAAAGGTGAAAAGAAAAATGAATTATTATTAAATTATTCGCTCTGACTTAACATTGATCTCTCAGGATTTCATCCTCCTTGGGATTATCCATACGGATTACCAAGATTTTCGTTTTTGCTATTTTACCGCATGTTTAAGATCTGGATAGTTATAAATAAGTATTTATTTAAATCATTTCAACCCATGCAATGCAAGAATCGACAAAGACGCCAGCGGTTACTGAATATGAAAGAATATGAGAAAAAGAAAAAAGAGAGAGAGAAAGATAGAGAGAAATAAACGAACTGGATATTATTCGACAGACATGCAGAGAGAGAGAGAGACAGACAGACAGAGAGAGACAGAGACAGAGAGAGAGAATAAAAAAATCTAGAATGATGAACATCAATGAAATATCAACAAACATTTCCCCAAACTAATGTTTATTAATTAACATGCCCATATATACATTGGTTACAAACATACTATATTATCGTGTTGATTAACTTGATACATATTTGTATATTAAATCAGCAACGTACACATCAACAGGCATAAATACAAGAAGCACATAGATAATACAATAATATACAAATATAGATAATAATATAGATATTATACTATATAATTTGGATAAAAAAGACATCTAATATTAGAAGCATTAAGCATAAAAGTAACGTAAGCGTTATTGAATATATTTAAAACTACAATAACAAATATATATATATATATATATATATATATATATATATATATCAGAGGTGAAATGACACGGAAAACTGACAGTGAAAATTCTATATCCGAAAACTGCCAGGAACGAACAATGCAGAGGGTAAGATAGATTCTCATTGGTCAATTGAGTGTTGGTAGTGACTGCAAGTTTTAAGCCTCAGGTTCTACAAATACAATGTCACTGATGTTGATCACATTTCTCCCACGAATATAACACATTTTATACTATATTAGACGAGTCATGATGAGGAGGTAACAATGTTTTATTTGTTTTAGCAATCTAACTTATTGTAATAATAATTATTACATTATTATTACTAATATAGATAGATAGATAGGAACAGAATGGGATAGATAGATAGATAGATAGATAGATAGATAGATAGATAGATAGATGATAGATAGATAGATAGATATGGATAAACTGATGTAGATAGATGAATAGATAGATAGATAGATAGATAGATAGATAGATATGGATGGATGGATGGATGGATGGATGGATGGATTAGATAGATAGATGGATGGATAGATAGATGGATGGATATGAATAAACTGATGTAGATAGATAGATAGATAGATAGATAGATAGATAGATGGATAGATATGATAGATAGATAGATGGATAGATGAAGATGGATAGATAGATAGATGGATAGATAGATTGATAGATAGATAGATGGATAGATAGATATAAACTAGATGTAGATAGATAGATAGATAGATGTGATAGATAGATAGATAGATATATATAGATAGATAGATAGATGTGAATAAACTGATGTAAATAGATAGACAGATAGATATGAAGAAATTGAGATATATATATAGATAGATAGATATGAATAAACTGATGTAAATAGATAGATAGAAAGAGATGAAGAAATTGAGATAGATAGATAGATAAATATGAATAAACTGATGTACATACATAGATAGATAGGAACACATTAAGATAGATAGATATGAATAATTGATGTAGATAGATAGATAGATAGATAGATAGATAGATAGATATATAGATAGATAGATATACATAGTTGCAGTATAAACCACAGGTTGCTTCTGTGCCTGTGCGAGGGTCGGGAATACTGAATGGCTAGACAGGTAACCTCGAATACGTGTGGCCAGTTATTATATATATATATATATATATATATATATAGTGTGTGTGCGTGTGTGTGTGTGTGTGTGTGTGTTGGTTGTGTGTGTGTGCGCGCACGTGTGTGTGTGTATGTAGTTATAGCTAAAAATATATCCGTAAAGTGACAATTTGAATAAAAACATATGTTTGCCATGATAATGACCATCAAATGGCGAAACGCGTCGGTAAAGACAAGTTTTCCTTCTGTCTTTATTCATATATATATATATATATATATATATATATATATATATATATATATATATATATATATATATATATATATATATATATATGTTTCTGCATATATAAGTAGGCATGGCACAGGCTTGAGGGTAAATGGTGGAATGTCAACACTGAATCACGCGCATGCGCTCGAAGACTTAAAAGCGAAAGTATTTCTTTTCATTTTTTTCTTTTTTTCCCTTCCCGCTCTCACGTGCATTGCCGCCTTACTTTCCCGCCATTTTTCACAGTGTTTTTTTTTTTCCCAGCCAAGCGCGAAACGGCTTCCCGATTAAACGAGTTACTACTTCGGCTGCTGCCGTAGCAGCGACTGCTAGTGTAACTATTGCTCCTGCTAATTTTCGCCCTGTTCATTGCACAGCAAAATTATCATCATCATTCGTTCAGAGTTCGCAACAGAGCGCAGGCGGCAAACGACATAGCGCGCCAAAATATTATTATTCTTATTTCTCAGCCAATAACTTACTCTGTAGTGTTGGCATACACCTCGGCATACACCTCGGCATACAGCTCGCTTTCAGTTGCATATATGCTTGCTTACATTGATACGATATACATATATGCATACATACAGATACAAAAATCGTTTTAAATAAATAAGCATACTTAATAGTTTTCTGGTTTCTGTCTAAATCTCTGAGATTACTTGCATTATTTACATGATTCGGACTGTTATCCTCATATTCATTGCCATATTCATTTTTCGGCCGTTTTACTATCCGGCCTTATCCAGGTGATTGGAATTTCGAAGGGAAATAACTGCGACACCAGGAAGAGGCACGGCAAGTGGAAGTAGAACAATCTAACCCAGTGGACAAAATAAAGGGTTAGATTCGAAATTTCAATCACCTAAAGAAGGCCGGAGCGTACAACGGGCGAAGCGTTGTGAATATGGAAATGAAGATGCGGATAACAGTCCGAATAATGTAAATAATGCAAATTTTCTGGTTGTTTAAATTTTGTGCAAGCATTTTTTTAAACAGTGAGGCTCCCCCTATACCAGGAAGTGGTAGTGGGACACTCGAAATAGATGCTTACATAAGGAGGCAGGTTATGCGAATAAGGGACGAAGATGACATTAAACATGAACAGGTTAAGATTGTCGTGATCAGGGAAATATCCGCTCGGGAATCGTTTGCACAGGGTAGTGGTTCGCGGGCAGAAGCTGCTCGAGTGGAACCTACTTCTCACCAATAGAACACAGAGGGAACGAGGGCGGTTTCCTACAAGAGGCCTTATAAGGCGGGTCCTAGATGTGAACGTTAAAACTAGCGGAATCTAGTTCGTCCGAGCACTTTTCATGGAAGTAACGATACGGCATTGAAAGGTTTGCGACGCTTTGTTTGTGAGAAAGGTTTTGTAGGGTGGAAAATAATTTGTCAATCAAAAAGACTAGTAGACGCTTTTGAACTCTCTCGAGACTGGAAAGTGAGGACTGCGCACTTCCCACCCAGCGAGGGCAACAGTTTACTCCATTTTAGACCTGAACTGTCACTTATAAAGATAGAGGATAGTATGATGAGTCAGGTACTTACTGATACTATACTCAAGTAGTAGACAAGTATCTGTATATATTTCTGAGATGAAGTATTATGTACACTACTTACATTATTCGGATTATTGTCCTCATCTTTGTTGCCATCTTTATCACGTTTCAGCCCTTCAGTAAATATCTATATTTCTGAGATGAGGTATTATGTACACAATTTACATTATTCGGACTATTATCCTCATCTTTGTTGCCATATTTATTACAACGTTTCGTCCCTTCAGTATCTGTCTATATTCTTGAGATGAGGTATTATGTACATTATTTACATTATTCGGACTATTGTCCTCATATTTGTCGCTATATTTATTATAACGTTTCGGCCTTTCAGTATCTGTCTATATTTCTGAGATGAGGTATTATGTACACTATTTACATTATTCGGACTATGGTCCTCATCCTTGTTGCCATGTTTATCACAACGTTTTGGCCCTTCAGTATCTGTCTCCATTTATGAGATGATGTATTATTTACACTATTTACATTATTCGGACTATTGTCCTCATCTTTGTTGCCATATTTATTACAACGTTTCTGGCTTTGTACGCTCCGGCCTTCTTCAGGTGCTTCGAATGTCGAACTGAACACTTTATTTTGCTCACTGGGGTAGCCTGTTCTCAAGGACACATGACACATTGGATAAAGGTGTTAGTTAGATCCAGATACAGGACCCAAAGTGTGTTAAGGCGGTGGAGAACTGGGTCTCAGCAAATGTTTTCTTAGTGTGCCAATCGTGTGGCGTGTTTTGGGCGTTTTAACCTGGCGCATACATCCCCAGATCAGACCCCAGTCGATGTCTTCCAGTTGGGTGGCTCGCCTTTGTCGCGAAAACGTGGCCGTTGTAGTTCATCTGAGGAACGCTTTTTCCCCTGACCGGTGACCTACTTCGAGGACGTTTTTCGCCCAGTGGTACCGTGTTAACATCACTCTCTCACGTGAGTTTAGCCCGCAAAATGAAACGCTTTAATGGGGCATGGCAAATTGGGCCCCTCTTATGTGAGAAGTTTAAGAGATGATTGAGGACGGTGGTGCACGTCCATCCGAAGGTACAGCATGTCAGACATCAAAGGTACTACTTCTATCCAGAGCCCCACTATGGCCACAAATTATAGCGGTCATATCCACACGGTTTTATTAACAAAGGACATAATCTTAATCACAGACGGCACTGAGTTAAGAGAGAAAAAATGAAAGAATTCTAAGATAACGTATTATAGGAATCCAAGAAGAAAGGACTAACTCTCGAAAGGGCACCACATATCCTGAAGCCACGGTTGTGTTTCCTGGGTTAGATAACCTGACCGTGCACAATCCTCTCCAGGTTGGTTTGACTTCTTTTTCACAGACCAGTCACTAAAGTCTATAGGATCTAATCTGTGTTGAGATGAGAAGAGATAGTTTCATAGCTTTCCCATGGGTATTAGCACGTAAAACAGAGATTCCTAAATTTTTTTCAACCAGCACCCCCTTCGTTTTGTCAATGCCCCCCACTGTCAAATTAATTTTCTAATATTATCCTGAATTCATCTTTCATAGCATGATAACATTTAGATATTAGTGCAAAGATAATTTTAATATTGTTTTCATTTTTATTATAAACTAGCAGTAGAGCCCGGCGTTGCCCGGGGATGTAACATTAAGAGATAGATCAAGTATCGACCATCATAAAGACTGAAAAATAAAATTGACAAAGATTATTGTTTAAGGTTGACGGACACGCATGTCTTAATTAGTTTTTTTTGTTTGTTTTTTTTTTTTTTTACGAATTGGTCAAACTCAAACAAAAACATTGTTTTCAATCGTTATGAGTCTACCGATTGAATAGAATTTTATTATTAACAATTGTCTTGTAAATGGAATTTTTAAAGCATTCTGAATGTAAAAATAAAGAAAAAAATGTACCAGACAATAAGAAACACTACCTACCAAAAAAGTGAAGTTTTGTTGAAATCGGTTAAAAAAATGTAGGAAATCCGATCCCATATATAAACGAACACACACACACATACACACAAACAACCTGGGTTTTATAATAAGTATAACTCGATATGAGTTGTCTCCCTTTCATTCTCACGACAGTGATGCCTCTTAATCGTGTTTTCAAATTGATTTCGTGCAAAAACAATTGTGTTTTTCCAATTTTTGGCGCTGAAAGAACCCCCGCAAGGTAATTTTACGTAGTCCTGTGAAGTTTTGTTGACATCGGTTGAAAAATGTAGGAAATCCGATCCAATATATAAACGAAACACACACACACACACACACACACACACACAACCTTGGTTTTTTAATAAGTATGATGCCAATGATTAAAATGGTAAAACACTTCACGACGTTGGTGATCATGGCTCGCAGCTTTTTGTCCTTTGTAACTTTTAATGAATAATGTCCTTTTGTTATCTCTCCTAAAATCTGTTCCCTGATTTATTTACTTAAACGTTGTTATCCATCTGTCCCTCTTATCTTCAACTGTCTAGTGAGTGTCAAATTTTCTAAGTCCTCTTTCCTCATTACGTACTCTAGACATTTCAGCTGTCTCTTCCTGATGTTAAGTAAAAGTTTCCTTTTTATTTCTATTTTCTCCAAAACCTCACATATTTGCTCCATGTTAATCACATTATCTTTCTGTAGAGCCACATTTCTGTTACTTCAAATCTCTTTCTTATCTGTGATGAAATTGTTCATTATTCACTGCTATTAACTGCTATATAGGAGAACTGTTATTATGTAAAAATTGTTTTTCTCTGTTCCTCTTGCCTTTCCAAGACCTCTTTCCTCATTATGTGCCTCAGAAATGTCAGCTATCTCTTGATGATATTAAGCATAAGGGTCCTTTTTGTTTCCATTTTCTCTAAAACTCGATCGTTTCTCACATGTTCAGTCCATGGTTTTCTCAGCATCCTTCTGTAGAACCACAATTCTCTTGCTTCAATTCTTCTGCTGATCTGTGAGGAGATTGTCCTGCATTCACTGCCGTATAGCAGGATTATATTCCGTAACAGTTCAGTACCCTTTTCTTTGTTTCTGTTGCTTCGTGTTTTTTCTTCATCTTTGAGGAGATTGTCCATCATACACTGCCATATAGGAAGACTGATATTA